GAATTAACTAGTAGCTGCAGCTGTCAAATAAATGTAGTGGAGTTAAAAGTACAGTATTTTCCTCTGAAGCATACAATGGAAATTCTCAAATACAGTAAGGTATGAGTACCTCAGAATTGTTCTTAAGTGAAGTACTTGAGTAAATGTACATTTAAAAGTAGTCAAAAGTCCCCAGAGGAGGCCATCAAAAGTAGACAGATTATCAAAAGTTCATCTGTACTGTACATTTTCCTCGTGCTCCGTATAGGTTTTGTGCCATATCATTTATTTGGGTTGGAAATAGTGGCATTGTTCTGATGCAATCTAGCTAATTCCCGCTTCTTTAAAAAGAAACTTTCCTCTTATCACACTGTGATGGCTGCTTCAGAATCAGTGAAATGCTGTAAAGTTTAACTGACACTGTTTTAATGCATCAGGCACAGATGGATGCCACCTAGCGGTGTTTTTTTCCTTTTGAAAAGAAAGAGAGAGAGAGCTGTTGGGATGTTTTATCAGTTTTTCCATGTGGTCTCTCATGTGGCAACTAGAACCAGGAGGAAGCTGTGTGAAAATAAAGCAGGATTCGTGATTGAAACCTGCACAATAAAGGAAATTATGTAATCAGATTTATTTTGATGCAAAATACCCCCCTCAGCCAGAATGAACTGGAGAATGAGAAAAATCATTAGGACTGTAATTTGGACACAAATTGAAGACACCAATTTTTGTCAGATTTATTATTCTCATTGCATGACATATTCTTTGAGTTTTTCCCTCATGTGGCAAAGAAAACTAGTTTTCTCTCTGTCAGTGATGTTTTTTCCCCCTGCAAGGACACAGAGTCCTCGAGTATGCGGAGTGTTTCATGAGCCATTTAGAAAGTGGATTCATAAACAAACAGAGAGACACATGCACAGATACACGCACGCTGGAAACGCGCATGTTTCTCATCCTCTGTTTTGGGCCTGTAGGCGCTGGGACCCATGGCAACCAAATACCGAGGGGAGAAAAATCTGTGTGCTGCCTGGCCGGGCTCCATCCCTCTGGCAGTCATGCAAAAACTCTTGAATCCCATGACAAAAACAACATTCCACATCTAAGTGATAGTCTTCGATGAATTCCTGTTCAACAGAGGCATTTCTCAGCGTGCATACCTCATCGTACTGAAACCATCTGGTGTAATGTATGAATGTGAATTCTTCTGCATGTCCACACAGCGAGGAGGTCTTTCTGCACACATGTGGGAGTATGCATTGTTTTCTTTTCCCCCCAATGTAGATAATTGTGTATGTGTGTGTTTATTTGCCATGATGAGACACTGATTTCCTCTGAGATTTAACAGCCTGTGTCCTCATCTCAAACTATCTCCTCCAACAATTTTCATCAGTTATCCTGTCAGTCAGACAATGAAGTGCTGGATGTTCCAAAACTCTCTAATTGAAAACAAATCTGAAATCATTCTTTTATGTTCCTCCAAAGTTTATCCCTATTTAAAAATAAAGAAAAATCTTGTCTCACTGTCTACAAATGTCAAATCTGCAGCCAGAAACCTGGGTGTGATTTTTGACAGTGAAAGTTTCAAAAGTTGTTCAATCATGTTTTTATCAACTGAGGAGCGTCTCAATATATTTTCAAGAAGGTCATTCATTCTTTTATACCATCTCGGTTAGATTATTGTAATTGATTGTATTCAGGGTGAAGCCAAAACTCCTTCAGCTGGTACAAAACCCAGCTTCATGGTTTAGAGCTCAGTTACAGTGGGGAGAACAAGTATTTGATACACTGCTGATTTTGCTGATTTTCCTACTTACAAAACATGTAGAGGTCTGTAATTTTTATCATTTTTATCAGGTACACTTCAACTGTAAGCGACGGAATCTAAAAAAAAAATCCAGAAAATCACATTGTATGATTTTTAAATAATTAATTTGCATTTTATTTCATGACATAAGTATTTGATCATCTACCAACCAGTAAGAACTCCGGCTCTCACAGACCTGTTAGTTCTTCTTTAAGAAGCCCTCCTGTTCTCCACTCATTACCTGTATAAAAGACACCTGTCCACACACTCAATCAAACAGACTCCAACCTCTCCACAATGGCCAAGACCAGAGAGCTGTGTAAGGACATCAGGGATAAAATTGTAGACATGGGCTACAGGACAAAAGGCAAGCAGCTTGGTGAGAAGGCAACAACTGTTGGCGCAATTATTAGAAAATGGAAGAAGTTCAAGATGACAGTCAATCTCCCTCTGTCTGGGGCTCCATGCAAGATCTCACCTCGTGGGGCATCAATGATCATGAGGAAGGTGAGGGATCAGCCCAGAACTACACGGCAGGACCTGGTCAATGACCTGAAGAGAGCTGGGACCACAGTCTCAACAAAAAAATTAGTAACACACTACACCATCATGGATTCAAATCCTGCAGCGCACGCAAGGTCCCCCTGCTTGACTCAGGATTGTACATTGCTCACGATGTGCTTACTTATACAATAATACATAATATAAAACACAATATTAAAATAATAATAAAATAAAATCAGACACAAACTACTGAATGCACAACACTAATATAGACACTATGAACAAAACAAAATAGACATATTGACAAATAGTGCAGTGATCAGAGTGCAAAGGATGCAAAAGTATACTATTCTCATTATGTACATGTTGAAGGTGGATATGATATACAGGTACACATACACATACATGCATACATGTACACATGTACACAGTGTGATGGAGCAAAAAATAAATAAGACCTATGACCTTATGACCTGAGGTAGGTGTATTGGTATACAGTATATACAATATGACATAGTATGAACAGCACTGAAATAGAGAATGGTGAATAAATAAATAATAAGTGGAAACCAGTAAACAGGTGCTGATTAGAGACAGAGTTACTGGGTTATTGCACAGGAATTGTTCCTGACACTGTGAGTCAGAAATCAGCTGTTCATCAGAGTGATGGTTTGTGGGAAGAAACCGCTTCTGTGTCTGTTGGTTTTGGCGTACAGTGCTCTGTAGCGCCTACCAGAGGGGAGGAGCTGGAACAGGTTGTGTCCGGGGTGAGGTGGATCTGCAGTGATGTTTCTGCCCGTTTCCTGACTCTGGAAATGTATAAGTCCTTAATGGAGGGCAGGTTGGCACCGATTATTTTTTCTGCAGTCCTGACTGTCCGTTGTAGTCTACTCCTGTCCTTTTTGGACCATGACTACAGATGTCAGGGCGACAGGTCTGTAGTCATTTAGTCCAGAGATGGAGGATTTTTTTGGGACCGGGATGATTGTGGAGCGTTTGAAGCAGCTCCAGCTCACAGCTCCAGTGATTTGTTGAAGATCTGAGTGAAGATGGGGGCCAGCTGGTTCGCACAGATTTTCAGGCACGATGGTGAGACACCGTCAGGTCCAGGAGCCTTCCTGATCTTCTGCTTTTGGAAGAGGTGGCTCATGTCCTCTTCACAGATCTTGAGTGCAGGTGAGAGGTCAGAGGGGGAAGGTGACTGTTTGAAGATGGCATTGGAGTAGGGGAGAGGTGTGACTGGGCTTTTCAAACCTACAATAGAAACCATTTCTGCAAAGGGGACAGGACGACTGCACTGTATTGAAGGGAGGATGGATGGGACCATGTATAGTGAGATCTTGGCCAACAACCCCCTTCCCTCAGTCAGAGCATTGAAGATGGGTCGTGGCTGGGTCTTCCAGCATGACAACGACCCGAAACACACAGCCAGGGCAACTAAAGAGTGGCTCCGTAAGAAGCATCTCAAGGTCCTGGAGTGGTCTAGCCAGTTTCTAGACCTGAACCCAATAGAAAATCTTTGCTGAAAGTCCGTATTGCTCAGCAACAGCCCCGAAACCTGAAGGATCTGGAGAAGGTCTGTATGGAGGAGTGGGCCAAAATCCCTGCTGCAGTGTGTCCAAACCTGGTCAAGTTCTGATATATCAAATACTTAGGTCATGCATTAAAATGCAAATTAATTATTTCAAAATCATACAATTTTATTTTTTGGATTTTTGTTTTAGATTCCGTCTCTCACAGTTGAAGTGTACCTATGATAATAATTACAGACCTCTACATGCTTTGTAAGTAGGAAAACCTGCAAAATCAGCAGTGTATCAAATACTTGTTGAATTGCTGCCAGCTATGAGCCGGAGCACAGCCTCAGATCCTCATGCAGGGTGCTGCTGGTCATACTTCAAGACTAAAGGTGATCAGGTTTTTGCACTCTGGACCCCTCAGCTCTGAATGTCCTGCCTGAAAACCTGAGGCTGCAGAATCAGTGACATCTTTTAAATCACTTCTCAAGTCATATATTTTTAGCTTTGTATTAATGCTAGCTCACTGTTTTATTTCCCACACGTCTTATCTGTTTTTTATTATTATTATTGTTGTTGTTAATGAGTATGATTGTATTTACCTCATTGTAGTCCTGAAATATTTTAATCCTGGTTCAACCATGTAAAGATTCAACCATGTAAACCATGTAAACTTTGCTTGTGCTGTATACATAAAGTTTATTTAATTTTTATTATTTTTATTTTAATTTTAATTACTTTCCTCATGAAAACACTGCTAAGACAATACATTTATGTATCACTGGGTTTCCAGGGTGACAGTGGTGGGATAATGATGACCTTAAAAAAATGTTAGGAAAAGTTTGGCCAAGGCCCACTGCCAGCGTTTCATCAGTTTTGATCACACGTCCTACACAATGAGTCCTATTCAGCCATGGTGTGAGAGCGGGAGGATGTTTGGAAGTCTTGTAAAAAAACAAAAAATGCTCCACCTTCACAATGTCCTTTGTTCTTACAAAAAATAGGTATAAGCATAACAGCAACATTGGATTGCCAACCAGGTAAAGCAGGCAACCCAAGGTCTTTCGGGCCCCATCAATAGGTTTTGGTAATGGCAAATTTATACCACTTAAGTTCAGTATCAAGTAAAACATATCCTGCAATTTTGCTGCGTTGTCTTGCAGAAGGACAGATGTCGAAATCTAGTTTTAAGAGTTTTATTATTTTTGTTTATACAGTGCTCACATGGTGCATGTTCCTAAATGAAATTGTGTTCAGTAAAAGTTCTGCAAACTAACACAAATGAAGAATTATTCCAGCGTAGGATTGCTAAATGCATTGGACTTAATGTGAACATGGAGGTAACAGGGTACATATATATTGCACAGAGGGCAGGGGACAGAGAGTCAGAAGGGACCTGCTAATTTACACATTACAATAGACACTCAAACATTTCAAAAACATAGTTGATTTAAGTGTCTGATTTAAATTTGCTGTGTGCTGGTGTGAAATGTGGCTAAGCTAAGTAGTAGAGACATTTTGCATTACTCATCTTTGCATAATGTTATAAAAAACTGAACAAATTCACAGTTTTAATTCCAATCCAATGCAACGTGAACCAAAATGGTGTGTTTTAGAGTAAAAGCCTCTGTGATGAGTTCAGTTCTAATGTTTGAACACATTTTTTAAATTCTGTAGTTTAAAAAGATGCAATGTTTTTACTTTTATTATATAGAAATATTAAACCAAATAATCCCATGTTCAATCTAAAATCAACCACTCCTAGACATTTACAGCATGTGTGCAGGTGCAGCATGAAACAAAAAAATAATTCAGTAATCTCTGTTAATTGTCTATGGTCATTTCATCATGGTTATGTATAACTGAACGCTCATGCATGAGTGCAGGGCTGATCGTCTGTCTGTTACTGGTAGCATCCTTGAGAGTCTGGAAGAGGCCGAGAGATGTTGTGGAAAGCCCACTGCAAGATGCCATCGATGGAGCCCTGCTCAGATACAGACAGCAGAGGAAAAGGATCAATTGTTGCACAAAAGGCTGAGTCCTTGTGACATCATTTGGCAAATGCGTATGATGTCAGTAACAACGATGATCTCTCACAGCAAAAATCAGATTATTACTGCAGTTATCATGTTTTACTACATCAGGTTATGATTTTAGTTTTGGGGAACATTTTCAACACATTTCCTCTAGGACTCAACAGATGCGGTGAATATGAGGCCGTAGAGTTACCCTAATCAGTCTACTCCTCATAATTGTAAATGTCCACCTCGTTAAGAGTTTATTGTTCTTTGAGAGCGAAATCTTTTTCACATCCAGAAAGCAGGTGTGAAGAAACACATATTGACATTATAGGTCATTACATAATACCAAGGTCCCTTAGTATTATTAGAAAACTTTCACACCTAAGAAATTAATTTAACTTTTTCTCTTCTTTCTTTTTCTTTTTCTTTTTTCTCTTTTTTGTAGTAGCATTTCTATCCCTGAGCATTTAGCTTCCTACCTCTCCAGGACAAGCTTTTGTTTACTTTAAACATTTCTACCTGATTATATGTACAAATATGTATATAACAATTAATAAATGAATGTGCAAACAAATAAAATGAAACATAAACACTACTACTGTTCAGCATAGCCGGACATCTCGTAAAAAACTAGAACTACAACACAAACAGCATCATGACACATCACTTGTTTGGACCTCAAGGCTGCATTTACGGTGACAACTCATACCTTGTATGTGTCGTAAGAAGTGCTGCGATTTGTGTCTGACATGGTCTTTTTTACTCATATTTGTCTACATGTGTGGTATCGACATATGTAACTGAGCCCCACTCACATCTCCCAGGATGGAGTCCAGTTCATCTTTATGGAGAATGGGCTCAGGGACAGAGGAGCTCTGATCATGACTGAGTATATTTTGAACCACTGGGGCGATCTGGTTACACACACACACACACACCCCACACACACACACCCAGGAGAGATTACAAGGATTACACTCCATCATATTCAGAAAATCAAGATGTATATATGATGTATCTCTATTTAAACATGTCCTTTTTGTACACAGATGTGCAGACACACCTGTAAGGATCAGTCTCCTTCTCTGCAGAGCTGCCCCAGGGCCTGGAGCAGGACAAGCATATGGATCTCCCTCTATAGCAAACACAAGGGATACTGTGAGTTTTCTGTGGTGTGTAATGTTACTGTCAATCGATACGTTCCTCCCAACACTCAAAAGGATTACAGAGGAAGAGGTTCAGACCACTTCAGATGGTAAACTAAACTGTTTAGATGGAACATCTATGTAAAACATATTATCCAATGATTTTCTTTTTGTATCATGTGACAACACGCAAAAAGCACACAGAGATTTCTCATAAATTGAACACACAGAGATCATCACATGTATTTACCAAGGTTTCATTTGTCATCTGAATCTCTGGTAGCATTCTGTAAAATCATTGATCTCCACAGTATACATTATACCCTGCTGCTGCTGTCCAATTACAACCCATTAGTCACCATTAGCTAGATATGACCACCGTAAGCACATACCCTTAATGCACATTGGTGATCAATACTAATGTCAACAGGAAGTTCTTCAAAATATGTGCACACTGAAGCTGATGTTAGGATTTGTGAAGTTAAATGGGAAGTATATACATGTCATCTCCTGATGATGTCTCATTATGAGTCTAACACCAGATAATACAGTGGAAGGAGAAGTGGGCAGTGGACGTCTTACTTGGAGAAGTGGCAGTGTGCGTGGAAATACTTAAAACACTGGAGGCAGTGAGTCAGGTCTGCTCCTGCTAAATGACAAACGCCACACACCTCCCTCAAGTTGACCATCTCTCCACCTGAGCACTGGAAACACATTTTATATATTTTAGCAGCAAGAAGCAGTGACACAAAATGAAAAATGAGCAAAAAAAGCGAAGCTTTCATTCAACCAGTGCCACAAAATTGGAGATAAAAAAACAGGTGCAAATGGAATAAAATAAAGGCTGCACCAAGCATCAAGTCTCTACCTGATGTCTGCCACTGGGCCCGTTCATAGAAGCCGTGGCACTGGTGAGGGACGAGGCTGACAGCGAGGAGAAGAAGGAGACGGAGGAGATGGAATTACTGCTGCTCGTGTTTGTTTGCTGAGGCTGGGCAATGAGCGGCTGTGTGATATAAAAAGATTAGGACTATATCATGACAAGAACTCAGCTTTTCAGACTTGACTGTTCAAATTGTCAGATCATGAGGATTTAAAGAGGAGGGGAGCGACGTCTGCCAGCATTTACAGTTATAGACATGAAAATAACTGGAAAGGTGAGGTTTTCTTCAGGAAGCAGATTATTAACCAGTCACCATTGTAACTCCGGTAAATCATAGATCAATCATCAAAGTAGCTATTATAATCTGAAATGATTTGATCATGACATGCAGAGATTTTCACATAAAAAACAAAACAAAACATACAATTTGTATAATATATGTACATTTCCTTTTGTAATGATATATCTTCAGACACTTACTTGTAAAGGTAGTTGGGGTTTCTCTCTTTTTACTGTGTTGCCAGAGCACCGCTCACACTGCCAAGGTCCACTACAGTTTAAAAATGTAATTCTTTTCAAGCAACAGTTTAAATAATAAAGTGCCCCATAACAGACAAGCATGCTAACATATTGAAAAAATTACACACAGATAGGTAGAAAGACAGACAGACAGACAGGGATTTAAAGCTTTCATTTTTCACCTTGGTATAGATGTGAGTGGAGGGTCGAGGCAGGTCAGATGAAAAGCTCGAGGACAGCCATCACAACAAATCAGCTCCCCTCCGTCCCTACACACTGCACACTCATCATCATTATAGTGAACCTGCACACTCAGAGATACAGAACATATAAATATGAACATGTACAAATTTACACAAATTCAAAAGGAATGAGGTGTAACTGTGAATGAGTGGAACCTCTACCATGCCTGTGGTTGTCTCCACCTTGTGGTGAAATGTGTTCTCAGCAGCTTTGGATTTGGACTCTCCATTTATCTCTGACTGACCACAAGAGTGAAAGTCCCCAACAACTTTTATACACTTTCTGGCAGTTCCTGTTGAATAACAAAGACTTTTAAAATACTTTTCATAAAGGACAAGCTCTAATTCCTATATTACACAGATACCCACCCAGTGGCTTACTATCTGAGCCAACCACCTGCTTGATACGGATCTTCTCTCTGGCTTCATGGCTGACTGGCGGCTCAGTTGAGGCGGCAGAGGAGGAGGAAGACAGGGCGACTGGTCTCTGGACCGAGGAGGACTGCACCTGAACACCTGTGACAGAACAATTGTTAAACGTGTCTGCAGTATTAGAGTGTAGTCTGTATATATTTTAACATATGATTGATTACTATTTCCAGGTGGTAGCTGGGGGGCTGGAGCTTCAGTCTTCACTCTGTACAGTCTCACTTTACCCCCTGGAAAAAAACATAGAACAACACATTCTAATCCTCAAATAAGTTGTTTTATTATTATTATTATTTTTTTATTATTATATTATTATTATTTATTTAGACAGTGCAAAAATATCTCTGAATGAGCCGCAGTGGCCACTTTAATATTGTTAGAAGACAGAGTCCAAAGAGATTTATTATGGAAAACATAACCTGGTCCATTGCTTGTCTTGGCATGATACTGTGGATGCTTATTGTGTGAATTGGTCCCTCTGTCTTCGTGGCTCCTCTTCTTGATTTGAGGTGTTTTGTTGCCTCCAGAGGATCTCTTCTCACTTCTAGAGCCTGCAGCATCCCGCTCTGTCAACAAAATGTCAGCAAATAACAAATAGCTCTAAATCGTTGAAGTTGTAGATGAAGAACTGATAGACAAGGACTGGGACAGGTAATACTAGCTTCTACTTCTACTACTTCTGTAACATATTTAAAATAACAACAGTTCTATTTTGAAATTAAATCTCAGTCTGCTCTTGATCTCACAACACACTAATGTGTCATGCTAAAGATTATCAATTTGTAGATTTCTGTACCATGTAGGTTCTTCTGCTGGTTTCCAGATATTATATGTGCTTTACCTGACTTTAGTAGTAGATTTTTTTTACAATCAACTTTGTTGAAAAGTCAATTAAATAAGAGATTACCTATATATAAGGATATATACAATGGACACTACCCTTCCCAGAATAAACAGACAAACCTACTACAAACATTGGACAAATATTTTGGTGAACCTTGAGCGTTACATACTCGAGTGCAGGTTAGTGAGCAGTGACCGCAGCTTGGGGTAGCTGTCCAGGTTGTAGTCTTTGGACAAGTTGCTCCAGAAAGCCTGGATGGTGGATCTGCTCTGCTCCAGGACCCAGGACAGGAGCGAATATGTGGCCTTGTGGATCCCTTCTCGGCCTTCCTTCTCCAGAGTGTCCTATAAAAACAGCAAGAGTTACATTAACTCTGCAGTCTCAATAGAACGGTATATTCCTGCAAATACATTTTATAATCTAAAAAGTTCAGGATTAAATGGAAATGAGCAACAATGCCTCCAGATGGGACAGATCTATGTCAAATTAATTGGAATTACGTTGAGGACAACAAGGGAATAATTAAATACATTTATCAATTTGTTATGACCTTGTGTCAGTATGTTTTCAGTGTTTGATGGCTGAACAAAATGCAAGACGCTTGTAATTAAAATGGAAAAACAAGTGAAAACTGCTGACATTTCCAATCAAGATAGATAGATAGATACAATAGTTTCTTTCTTACCTTTAGTAATTGGTCAGTGATGATGTTTTTGTCTGCCAAACCATAGACGAGAGGGAAAGGGTCGTCTACAGCCATAGCAATATCAGTCCGCAACTCCCTTAGCAGGGAGCGAAGGTCTGTGTCCCTAAAAGCTGTCACTCTGGACATGATCTGCTTTGTGTGTAAATGAGATCTAAAGTGACTCGGACTTGAGATCATACATAACAATGTATTTTGGATGGAAGAGGTGTGTCCTTCTTAGGGAAGGAAATATTGTACTTGTGTTTCATGCCGACTGATATGTGGGAAATCTTTTTTTGTCTTTTTAAAAAAATACAACCCAATGTGTCGGCTTTGAATCTATGTACGTATATAGTATATGTCATTATCTACAATCATGCATATGAGCAACACTGATAAAATTAATTCTGATTGGCTGAGATCTTCAGAAACTCAGCATTGAAGGTTTTCACCCTTCTAGTGAGGCCACCCTCGTTCATCTGTCCACTAACAGCACTAACTGTCTCCGTCTGCCTGTTGACCCTCAGGGGGATCGAATGACATGCTGTCCATCTAGGGGAATACCTGTCCTCTTACATCAGGAGAGCTAAGAGTAAGCGACCTGACTCGTCACAGTGACAGTTTCCTTTTTAAAAGGTTCTTTCCACCTCAACTTCCCCTTAACTATCAGGTTTTCAGACACCACAGGGAGCTCAGGATTAGTGCGACAATAATGACAACAGGCAGGAGAAAATTAACTCTGTAAACAATTCACTGATTGAAAGATTGATTGAAAGGTTTGTTTATTTCTAAGTTCTCAGCCCATTTTCCTCAGATGCTGTTAGAATCCACTCTTTTCTTAAAATATCTCTTTAAAAGCCTTTTCTGCCCATTTGGAAACTGTTTGGGACAGGTGTCATCATTTGGGCTACTTTTTGTACACTTTGGGCCATTTCCACCAACGAAAACTATATATTCCAATAAATCCTCACCTCCACAGATCCAAGTAGTATCATTGAGTTGACAGGACACTGAGTTCAGTAGGCTCAGCTCGACACGGAGTGACAAAAAACTGGTGACCATCAACCAAATGTCATTTTGGTTGATTATCATTTTAAGTTGAAACTTTTCCAATTATTATTTTGTCATAGATTTGTGATTAAAGACCTGTAAAAGATGAAATATGTCATATGAGTTACACATTAAATCTTATGTAACATTATTTGAAATACTTTTATGTTGTTGTAAGTTTTTTTTATTACCATTTCTTCATTATTGTAACTGTAGTTTTGAGTTTGCCCTGATAACACAGAAGACTGGAGGGACTTTTATGATGATTGGGCATGTTTTAGGCTATGATTGGGCTACTCTTTGTCAGTCCAGTATGGCATAAAAAGGTTTAACAAAGAACCACAGGGTTCTCTCCCCCAAGTCAAAGAACCTCTTGCAACATAATGCAACCCTTTTATGTTTAAGGATTTCTTATGAATTGCTTGCTACTATAGAGAAAAGCTATTATCTGTAGACAGTCTGCAGTAGCCTTACCCAGTTTTGGCCAACCCAGGTTGGTGGCACATTTTTGTTTGGCAGCAGAGGTTTAGAGAGAGGTTACCTTTGAAGAGAGCCAGGCTTGCTGTTTCCCTCTGTTTAATGAAGCTTATCATCTGAGGCTAAAGCTTCATTAAACAGACAGTGTTAAGGACCTCCTCATCTAACTCTTTGCAAGAAAAGCAAGACAATGTACTTCCCAAAATGTTAAATATTCTTTTTAGTATTTGTCTTTCATTAAACAAAAGACATGCAAATGTCAAACTATACTCTGAGTTGACTTATTAGATTTCAGTTGAGGCTAGCCTAGCAACTAAAAATGTTAAGCTCTTTGTGATGTAAACGTAATTTAAATGTGGGTCACCAAGCAGCACAAAGAAAAGTAATGTAAAAAGAAAAAGCTCCACCAGCATGCTTTCTCTTTTTATTTCAAGAAAGCAGCTCGGCTAATGTGTGGCACAAGCTAACATTAGCCATACTAAGCAGCAGGATGCTCTGTGGGTTATGCCTCATTTTACTAACATTAGCTAACTTATATGTTTTAAAAATGAGGTGTGAAGACAGTTATAAACATACTCCTTATGAAAGTATAGCCTATGTCATGGATTACACTAAATTACTGTACACAACATTACTGTACTAAAATGGATAAGCGTAACCATTTCACTCCAAACCCTTATGTAACATTATACCAAAACCTGCCCTCTTTTTTGATTGTAAATGCTAAGGGATGTAAAACTGTGTGTAAGAATTAACATTCTTAGACTGTATATAAAGATTCAGTCAGTAAGATTAAATAGAGTAGACCATTTTGCTACCAGGTAGATGTTGATGGTTAGGAGAGTGAAGCCCTTTAATTTGTAATTTATTAATCATTAAACATTATTACATTATTCATACTGGTGAACAAGGACCACTTCTACAGAAGGACGTTCACAACATACATATTACATTATTATATACAGTGCAGTGCAGTGCATTACAGTGGATCGTTACATGTGTATTACCGGGATGGAGGGATGGGGAGACTGGAAGGAGAGAGGGTTAGAGGAAAGGAGGAAAAGGAGAGTAGTGGTTAGAGGGAAGGGGAGTTGTGATATTAAGTTGTGTTTTTATTTCTTCTTTTTTTTTTTTTAAACCACAGTACAGTTTGTTCTATAAAAGTTAAACCCATAGAGAGATAGAGTGCCACATTTTCACAGCTACTGTTAGGTGAACCTACTGGAAGTTGACTCTTGTGGGAATATCAAATGAGATACATTTTGTCATGAGATGCTAGAGAGATGCTATAAAACATTCTAAGATAGTCAACCTCCGTCCAGAGTGCGGAGACCCTGGAGGGCAGGCCAAAGGTCAAAGGTCAAAGATCAGATCAGCGTGCATGCGTGCTGCAGACATTCAGACGTGTTCGGCCATCTAGAAAAATGGCCTACTTCCCCATTACTTCTCCTTCTATGTGTAGGCATCATTTTTGGTGCTTTCCCTTTTTATATATAAAAAATACAAAACATAACAGCGAAAAGAATTCCATTTTTGTCCTTTTTCCAAAACTGTTTTTTGTTCGTTTTCATTTCAACATTTGTTTGTGTTTCTTTCCCTTTTCTCCTCCAGTCACTTACATATTGACAAAGTATACAATATTTTACAACTGAACAAGACTGAAAGATAACATTTGATTTGTCCAATCAGATACAAGGCCCACATTCCTATATCCAATTAGAAAAGTCAACTGGAAGCTAACCAGTAGTAAGCAACACAACAAGCCTATGGTGTGAAGGGAGCTGTCAGATTTCAGCTCTGCATTAACATGAGCACCCGCCCTCGGGGACAGTAGGCTCTGCTGGTTTGTCCAGCTTGATGTCGATCACTGGGAATTGTCCAGTTAAGGAAAAGTATATCAAATATCAGTCACAGTCAAATGAGTAATGTTACAGTGTAAATATTTTGTACATACAGGGTACAAATGAAATACTCACTATTACTACAATTATAATATACTGACTGTCACTGTACATAAAACAGAGAACAGCCGACACAAAATTCTTTACACTGTATGTTGTCCTATAAAATACAGATGCATTTGTTTCTGATATGTTTATGCTCCTAATAAGCAATCCTTTTTTCATTTTCAAACTTGTAGTCTTCAGACGAAACTGTCTCATAAGGACCTGTAAACAGACGTTGATGTGTAAAATCGGTGGAGTTCCCCTTTAATAATCAAACGATATGACAGGACAAAAAAGTCTGGTTCATTCTTTAACAGAAGTTTTGACCGTCAGCTAGATCTTACATCTTACAGCTTATCCTACTGTTTTGTTCCCAAGCAACAATAAATCTCACAATAATAGTAATAAAGGTGAAAAATTTTTTTAGTCACATTAAATAAACTTTTTACAATGTTAATACTGTCACATTTCTTTTGAATTGCTACCTGTAGTTACAAAACTGTAACCATTAACTCTTAAATAGACGGTAATTTAAAACTACTCAGTACGGTTTCTAGTCCCTCTCAAACACACTGTTGTTACCCCCTACCCTCTTACCCATTCTTGTGAGCTACTCCTATTGATGAAGAAGGTTTCAGGAAACTAATATGTCTTTAGTAGCAGCAAGATTTACTAAAGCCCAGGCAGGGAGAAAAATGGCATGAGTGAGAACAACCCAAATCTGAAGGATAAATCCTGGTGGGGACTAATTATCCTTCATTAAGGTTATTGTTCACTCACTTATACATGTGTGAAGATTCTTTTGGATATTGGTTCAAAACAAGCCACTATGCTTGCCTAAATTAACCAAGCCAGGCTGTCTCTCTCTCTGTAATCTTGACCATGGGATACGTAGCAGATGGACCACAGAGTTCGGCCTTATCAAGGCAGCTGCGTCAGTCAATCAACCAAACACACAGAGAGGAGAGAGAGTGGACGGAGGAGTTTGACTTATTGTTTTGGAGAGTGACAGGCTGTCACCTTTGCTTTACTTTAGCTCAGGAAATGATCCTAACGTCACCTGAGGAAACCCTGTGTGACATTACCCTTAAAGAAGGAGAAATCCTTCACATACTAAATGGTTAGAGTTAGTATAATCTAAAGCTGTTTTAAATTGTAAATGTTTTTCATGAATTAATTCACATTTATTGAGTACATCTCTTTTCCCTCACCTTCTTCAAACATCCATCCTCCATCACACATCCTCAGTGGATGTCACTTCCCAGACAGCCACTATGTGGTGCAGTACCTGTGCGTCCCGACTACCTTCCTGGCTCTGTGCATTTCCTCTCCATTAAGCAAAAAAGGTTTAATGGCTGATGCCTCGATAGACAGTAGGCTGGGCGGTCTGTTTGTACTAGCGCCAACTACCACTTAGAGATTAAAAATAAGATGCCTATTTCTTGGCTGTTTGGATCTCGGCACAGTGAATCACAGTGTCTGTAAAGGATACTGCCTTCAGGATTTGCATCGTCCAAGCTTTCCATTCCAGGTAGGGCTGCTGCAACTCGACGAAACAGCTAGGGGGAGAGAAAAAGAAGGAGGATAGAGATGAGAGGAGAGGAGAGAGAGTTAGGGATCAGGAAATGTGAAAAAAGATGTACAGAGAGGAGAAAAAGAGGGGGAGGGAAGACG